GCCAGAAATCCAAAAATTACATGCATTTTCCAAATAAGTTTATTTCAAAACCGCTTTTTCAAACCGGCCAATATTTAAGGGACTGAATATTTGTAAGACCCTCCACAGATCCAGTAAATTTGAAGTGTGTGGCTTCATTACTTTACGAGATAATTGGAGACAAATATGCTGTTAGAGGCTAAAATGTCATTTTTTTCATGTATTACCCAGCTTCAAAAGACGATTACTCAAAAACTGCAGGATGCCCGCGTGTGGAACTTTTTTTTCTAAGAAGTTTAACCATTTTACTACATAAAAATCATAATAAAAAGTATTACCCAAGACGCTGGAACGGAACTCACTTTCTGACCACTTTCTGAGAGCTAGCCTATGGCCTACAAGCGGAGAATCGGAGTCAGCGATCAGACCATAGACATATATACACAGACGCTGCGTTGCGTTGGTCCGTTGCAGGGATACGTCAGCGCGTCCACCATATTGGATGTGGCAGAACTCCCCGTAAATTAATAAAAGGAAACCGACTTAACTCCATCACCTCTTCGACGTGATGCTCTATGATGTCTCTATTCACATACACAGTAATATATCTGGGAAGCAAATAGGCACCAGAAAAAACGTATGTAACTTTTAAAGTGATTACAAATTTTTACTCCTGATGTTTAGGATAAAAGGAAGCACCGAACCCAGCGTCTGTCATCTATTGCAGAAAATATGCAATTTCAGCGATTTTGATTGTTAAAATGTTTGCCATTAGTCATACATAAAGATCAGTGGACAGATATTAATATTAATTGTATGTTATCTTTTTTTTATGATTGGTGAGGCTCTGTCTCCCCTAACAGAGTTACAGGAGCGTCAACAACTAAGCCTCTCCATGCAGAAAAGAAGGAAAAAAGAGTCAGATTCCTAAAGTTTTAACACTCCTCCACAACTAAGTTTCACTAAAAAAGTCTCCAGATTTGAAAAAAAATAAAGGCAATGTGACGTTCTGGCTCCGCCCACCGGCTCAGCCACCGGTAATCAGTAACATTGGTCACACCTGCCATGGGCTGCTCTTAAGCCCCACTCACGCATTCACCTGTGCCAGAACGTCTCTAACCTAATGTGCGAGTCTTCCAGCGTTGTTTCTGCCTGTTACGTCCGTTTCGTCCCCGACTCCGAGCCTGCCTGCCCCTCGTCTGATTATCCTGCTTTGCCTGAGTCCTGCCTGGCCCGACTCAGTGTTCTGCCTGCCTGCCCGTGTCCCCGACCCAGCCTGCCTTACTCCGCGCTCCCGTCTGATCCCTCTGGACTGTCTCCCCGGCTTCGACCCCTGCTCGTCCCTGGACCCCCTTTTGGATTACCCTTATCGGATTATTCCTGGACTGACTCCCCGTTGCCGACCTCGCCTGCCTGACCACCCCCTCTGGTTTGTCCTATCGAATAAACCTTTCGAACTGATCGTTTGCCTCCGGGTGTTTTTGGGTCCGCTCGCTCGTACATTACAGGCAAAGCTCTGCATAAAGAATGTTAGACTTAATCAATGTTGGTGTGAGGACAGGCTGCTTTTGTTATATATATATATTATAATATATTCTGGGTACAGCCTCGGGGTCTCTTTCACGCCATATCAGCGGTTAATTACTTTTCAGGTAGCTTAGACTTAACTATTTTATGCACAATGGACCTTACCAGAGGGGCCGCTTTTCATTGGCTGATGCCCATTCTACGTCATAGAGTGGCTACAACGTGCGAAGACGTCTCACAAACACAAGCTAATGTAGTGCTAGACTACTACTGTACTAGCATACCGCGCATAAAGTTTTTGAATCAACAATCGAAAAATAATGGTTCTGCATTGCCAGTGGGGTATCTGTACTGGTGATGTCAGATATCCTGATCGTATTTGTGGTCGGAAAATTCACAGATTTCCAAAATCAGGAGCAGAATGCCGGGCTTGGATCAAAGCTTGTGCACGACCACATGAGCAGCTCAACCTTCGTAGGATCAACAAGAACAAGGGAGTGTGTCCTGGTGTAAGTATTATTGCTTTGCTTTAATACTTAAAGCAAAGCAATAATACTTATTGCTTTTTATTTATTAGCATTTTGTCGGCGGGGATGGGCCAACAGCGTCCCATCCTTATCCGACACCAGCAGACGGAGCGCGAGTGCATACAGCTAGGCGCGCACGAAAAAGAGCATCGGAAAGTGCAAGTAGGCAGGACAGCAAAGACAAGAGACCATCGATTAGAGCAGAGAGCTTGTTAGTACACACAATTACATACACATCCATAACACAGTTCTGATTCAAAGTTATTTTATTATTTATCATGTGTCACAATTCACATTTTCCACAAACATGAACATCAAACAGAAACAGAATCACTTTTGTTGTTTCAATTGTTTACAGGGATACCATCTAGTTCACAGTGAATGTTCTGAATTATTTACAGGGATACCTACGATGCTGCAGTAAACAATGATGCAGACAAAGGGATAGAGGTGCAAACAGATGAACATTGTAAGTGAGGATAAGCAGTTCCTACATGTTTTGTAAATAAGGCACAGCATGATCTTGATAGAAAGCAGCTAAAACTTCTAACATGGATGACATAAATACTTTGTCTGGCCACACTCTTTCTACATGTAGATCCTTGTGGGTGAAAACAATAAAATCACAAAAATCACATCCTGTGATCATAAGTTGACCTTGAACCTGAGCATAGTACATGTGTGTCTTCTTCAGCTGAGCAGAGCCACTGGGTTGCATTTCTAGGCAAAAATTGGGTAGCATGCAGGCATCCAGAATGGTGGAATTTCGAGCGGCATACGGACACTTTATTTCTATTAGACCTGATCGGCCACCATCACATACTTTGCCGTCGGGTGAAGCACCTATGAAGGGAAAGTGATTACTGACCACAAAGCCACATTCATGCAAGTGCCGGTCCTGATGAGTCTGTAAATATTTGGATTTTGCTAAGGGCTCGTTTCTTCGCCCGTAATCCAGTGAAGGGGCTGAAACAGAGTTAGCGTCAAAAATTGACTCTAAAAACTTGTGTGTGACCTTTGCTTTCCTGACCAGAACTCGATGGAAATTTGAGGCTGTAAGCCTTTTTTTTCTTGCCTCAAACCACTCAGAACATTTACTCTGTTCTCTGGTTCGAGCTTCAAGTTCCACAGGATCTTCACAAATATTAAGGTCTTTCAACGCTTTATATCTTTCTGGAAGAGCCACTGGTGGGTTATTTGTGACACAGGTGTCGCCACACTGTTGCATGACCGCTGTCGCATCTACCTTCAAGTTCCTTGTCTGAAACAAAAGAGCAGTATCATGACATTATATACATTTCTCTATATATACATATTTAGTCCTTTTTTATTTTCAGGGATTTCGCCGCTGGATATGCTTGCAGTGACTGCAGAGTTGGAAATGGCAAAAACAGAAATCAGTCGCTTGCAAGCAAAAGTGGAACATTTAGAAACAGAGCTACAGAAAGAACAGAACCGAAAACTGTTTGGTATTGATGCTGTTGTTGAATCTGAGAAGAACAGCAAAAAAAATCTGTGTGTATATTATACAGGACTTACATTAGTCCGTTTCATGTCACTATTTACATTTCTCTTGCCAAAGAGGGAGACTTTGACTTATGATGAAAACAGAAATGACATTAGAGAAATGTCAGCAGAAAATGGACTTTTCCTGACTATGTGCAGACTGAGACAAAACTTTGGTCTGTTCGATCTAGCAACACGGTTCGGCATTTCACAACAGTCAGCTGGTATAGTATTTAACACTTGGATTAACATTATTTATCTTAAGCTGTGCACTGTTTCTATCTGGCCACACAGACAAACCATAATAGACAACATGCCAAAAGACTTCAAAGCTAATTTCCCTACAACATTAATTATTATTGATGGAACAGAATTAAAAACAGAATCCCCCTGGGCCCATGGTGTGCAATGCCAACTATATAGCGATTATAAGTCTACCACAACATTCAAGGCACTCATAGGTTGTGACTCTCGGGGGTCTTTCATGTTCACATCAGAATTATTCACAGGATCGATATCAGACAAGGCCATTACAAAAGCAAGTGGTTTTTATGAAACCATACAACAACTGAAGGACGTTGGTTACATTCAGAATGGTGACGGTGTCATGGCAGACAAAGGGTTTACAATCAAGGATGAGATAAATGCCCTTGGTCTGTCCTTAAACATACCACCTTTTGCCTCAGCAGACAAACAGTTGTCTCAGGCAGATCTTGCACTAACTGACAAAATAGCAAGACACAGAGTGCATGTTGAACGACTCATTTCTCGCATTAAAGATTTCAAAATAGTTGGTTGTACAATTCCTGCTATATTGTTTCCTAAGTTAAACAGAATATGGGCTGTGTGTTGCTACTTGACACTTTTCCAGGGCTTTGTT